ATGCTTTTTTTTCTTAAACCACTGAGCCACCCAGGAGCCTCAAGATGTACCACATCTGCTCTATCTATTCATCAGCTGATGATGGGCATTTGGATTATTTCCACCTTTTGGCTCTTAGAAATAGCGCTGCTATGGATATTCACTGCAAGTTTTGTGTGGCTGTTTGTCTTCATTTCTTTTACTTAGGAGTACTGTTGGGTCCTATGTCAAATTTATGTTTAATTTTTTAAGAAACTGAAACTCATATTTCTCTGCCATCCATAGGCTGATGATGAAAAGGCATATGAGGCTGTCTCAAGTAGAAAAGAAATACCTGCCAGCACACAGCTATCAAGTGCATAGTGTTGAGAGAAAAGCTACAAAAGATGGAGTGGAGCCTGCTCTTAGGAGTTTATAGGCTAATCCAGATGTTCTAACACATGTGTTTATAGAGTAACTTGGCAGTATGGAAAATCTGAATCTGAACAGAGGTCCCAACAATCTGTGCAAAATGAATTCAGGAAATACTGGATGCTTACTTTTTGCAAGTTAGGCTTTAGGAAAGATAGATAGAAATTTAAAACAAACACATTATCCCTCCCCTGAGTTACTAAGCAACTAATTAGTAACATAAGACCTAGTTATCAAATAAGTTAAATAATTAGAGATTTAAATACAAATTCAAGATAATACTAGATGACGTGGGGTGTGGTGGGAATGGAGGGAGGAAGGTAAGAAGGAAAATAGATAAACTTCTCTGTCCTTTGAGATCTTGTGAGAAAACAGAAACCCAGAGTGTGTTCCTTTAAAGGTTTCCAGTTCTATCACTGCCCTGGAAATCTTAGTTCAAAAAGAAGTGTTGGATAATAAATAATCAGAACCATTGAGCTAGATCAATAATAATGACTGCTAATATTTGAGTAATTAATGTGCCAGGGATAAATATCAATAACCTCAGATATGCAGATGACACCACCCTTATGGCACAAAGTGAAGAAGAACTAAAGAGCCTCTTGATGAAAGTGAAAGAGGATCAATGGAAAAGACACTGATGCTGGGAAAGATTGAGGGCAGGAGGAGAAGGGGACGACAGAGGATGAGATGGTTGGATGGCACCACCAACTCGATGGACATGGGGGTTTGGGTGGACTCCGGGAGTTGGTGATGGATAGGGAGGCCTGGTGTGCTGAGGTTCATGGGGTCGCAAAGAGTCGGACACAACTGAGCATCTGAACTGAACTGAACTGAATGTGCCAGGTGTTGCTCTCAACAGTTTACATTTTTACTCATTTAATCCTCTTAATAACTCTATGAAAGAAATACTACTATCATCGTCTAATGATAAGGAAAATGAGACTCAGAGAGGTTAAGTACATTGCCCAAGGCACACAGCTAGAAAACAGCAAAACTGGAGTTTGGATACAGGGAGTCCAGAGCCTACGTATTTAATCACCTCAAGTCCTGTAGTACAGTTACAGGACTCAGTCTCCAAATGCAGTTGGGGAAGTAGATCCAGAGGTATCTGGAGATTTATCTGAGATCAGGGATAGGAGTTGCACTCACTGCTAGTCCAGTCTTCTATCAAGAGTGACACTGGGTATCACCAGAGAGCCCTTTATTAAGATGCCATTTGTGGATGAGTCACAGGATGCACAGGATTCCTGACTTTAGTAGAGTGGACCCGAGAAAGCAGTGTTTCCTGTACAATATGCCAGGTCTGACCTCTGCTGTTGACCCGCCACATGAAGGTGGGCAAGTTACACCCTCTGAGCCCAGTTTTTCTACTTGTAAACTGGGGGTAGTAGCCATACTAGCTCATCGGATTACAGGAATGAAATGAAAGAACGGAAGAAATTGACAGTCATTGCCAATTTTGGTGCTGCAGAACTGTTTGGGGCAGGTCATTTGGAACTGAAGAGTATAGGATGCTGTGTAGGCTGAGATTTCTCAAGTCCAAACTGGATAACAGGTTGTTTTTAGGTATCACACAGGATTCTGTGTTGCAGGAAGGCTCTGGACCAGTTGTCCTGACTTGATCTGGGTTATATCATCAGATGTCATATCTTTTTGCCTTTTCATACTGTTCAACTGCTACATTTTTTTTAGTAGTCATGTACAGATGTGAGAGTTGGACCATAAAGAAGGCTGAATGCTGAAGAACTGATGCTTTTGAACTGTTGTGCTGGAGAAGACTCTTGAGGTAGCAAGTCTCTTAGACAGCAAGGAGATCAAACCAGTCAATCCTAAAGGAAATCAACCCTGAATATTCATTAGAGGAACTGATGCTGAAGTTGATACTTTGGCCACCTGATGCGAAGAGCCAACTCAATGGAAAAGACACTGATGCTGGGAAAGATTGAAGGCAGGAGAAGAAGGGGGAGACAGAGGATGATAAAGTTGGATGGTATCATCAACTCAATGGACATGAGCTTGAGCAAACTCCGGGAGATGGTTAAGGGCAGGAAGGCAGCGAGGCGTGCTGCAGTCCATAGGTCGTAAAGAGTCAGACACGGACTGAGTAACTGAACAACAATATATCATCAGATATGAAACCTGAGGTCAGTCTGTACATATACCCCTAATACAACACATTTTAGTCCCTTTTAAGACTCGATTAGGTCAATTTCTTTTAGTGACTGTTTTCTATACCAAATTTTGCAGCTCTGCTTCAAGGGACTGTTAGTGGTAACCATAGTCAAGAGTTTGTTTCCCCACGATTGTAGACATGCAAGGGTTGGTAAATTTGCAATAGATGGAATATTGTAAACCACCTGCATTTGTCAACTTGCCCCTGGCCAGAGGCCAGGCTGAGGCTGCTCTTCCAGGGAGATAGCTTTAATGCAGAATTTGGCTCTACAGTGATTTTCAAAGCTAGGGTGGGCCTGGACCTGAGCATTTAAAAGTTGCTCAGGTGACTCTAATGAGAACCACCGATTCTCACTAGAAAAATGTGTGAGATCTCAAGATTCTTATAGCCCAGCTGGACAGGTTTTGTAAAGGGTATCTAGGCAAGCATGAGTTTCCCTGGTGGCTCAGACGATCCGCCTGAAATATGGGAGACCTGGGTTCGATCCCTGGGTTGGGTAGATCCCCTGGAGGAGGGCATGGCAACCTACTCCAGTATTCTTGCTTGGAGAATCCCCATGGACAGAGGAGTATTAGAAGTATACATAGAGATTAAGGGGTTCAGCTAGTCACAGTTTAGGAAATAGAATTTAATTTTCCTACAGAGTAGGCTAACAAAGCTTTCTTTTACTTCTATACCGCTCAGTTCAAACAAAGGTCAGCTTCCTTCAGCACTCATTGGTCCCAGCAGAGCAGGAGCCTGTCCAAACGAATTTTGTATGTCCCTGGCACATTGTGTGGATCGTAGTAGTCTCCCACTAATGTCTGTTGACTGAGTAAACGAGTGTAGACTTCTCGGCTGGCCCATCTCGGTTTCAGGAGAGGTGGTACCCTGGGCCAGCCTCGCTTAGGCATGTAAAGCGATGGGGGCTGTTCCCCCTCTTCTCCCTTTATCGGTAATGACCTCCTTCCAATTCTTCTAACTCGGGTTTTGACTCCGTCGCCGCCTCACTCGATCCTACCCGCTGCTACCTGCCTCTCAGGCGTCGGGCTTCAAATCTGCCTCTCACCCCTTGTCCAGGTTCCGGTGAGTCAACTTCAACCCCAAGGTTCAACCCTGACAGTGACGGCCACAAACACATTCCCTCACCGGCACCTCGGAGGAGGCGCACGCCCACCACCGGCCAACAGGCCGCGCAGAGAGGGGCGTTTCTAACACCGCGGCTTTCCGGGTTGGGGGTGTGAGTCGAGAGACCCCTCCCCAGCAACCCGCCTGCTCTGCGAGGGACCGCCCGGCCCTCAGCGGGCGTGGCCTCGGCGCCTCGGACCCCGCGGAGCCGCTGCCCAGCCCGCGGGGCTCGGCAGGGATGCAGGCTGCTGTGTGAGCCCCGGCGCCAAGGCCATGTCCGGCGCCCGCTGCCGGACCCTGTACCCCTTTTCCGGGGAGCGGCATGGCCAGGGGCTGCGCTTCGCCGCGGGCGAGCTCATCACGCTGCTGCAGGTCCCGGACGGCGGCTGGTGGGAAGGCGAGAAGGAGGACGGACTCCGCGGCTGGTTCCCGGCGAGCTACGTGCAGTTGCTGGAGGTAAGCGGTGAGGGCGGGGGCTGGGAGGCCGGCGCGCTCGCGTACCTGTTGCCTGCCCCGGGGAGGCCGGAGCCGCCCCTGCTGGAGGGGAGTCCTGGGGCCCGCCTCTGTGTGCTGGACCCAGAGCCGCGCTCTCCTGAGGGCGGGGGAGGCGGCGGGCGCCCTCGGGGCGTGGGCAGTGCGGGGTTCACCCCCCGAGCGTTCCCCGTGCCGGGCCTCCCGAGCACATCGTGGCCGCCCTGAGGAAGCGAGAACTTGTTGCCAGTGTAAGCTCGGGAGCGGGCGGGCGCGTTCCGGCGGTGGCCGGGGCCGCCGGAGGGCTGCGGAGTCCGGCGGTCTAGGGAAGACGTGCGGACGATCGGGGTGTGAAAAGTGGCCCCAGCACCCCGAGCCTGCCGAGCCGTGGACAGTCGTACTGCGGCGGGTCAGCTCCCCGGCCGCCTCCGGGCCGTCCACTTACGGGTCAGCTGAGCCTTGCTGGCTACCAGCCCGAGCCCCGTCAGCAGGCTTGATCCCGGGGTGCCGCAGCCCCCAGCCAGCGCCCCCTCCCCTGGCCCAGCTCCCCCAGGTCAAGGTTCAGAACCTGGAAAGTGGCTTGTCCTGGGGTTCTGGCCCGGCCCCAGGTTTCACAGGACCTGCTGAGCCAAGTCGACTGGCTGTTTATTGTCTGGGTGACAGTTGGGAGGCCTCGCTGTCTTCTAATCGCTGAGCTCATGGTCACAGCCTGAGTGGGATCCGAAGTTTCTAAAGTCCTTTGCTGGGGGGGTGGAAGGTGGTTTTACAGGACGTCCCCTTCGGCCTGACCCCAGGATTGCTGCAAAGACTTTAACTGTGAGTCGTCGGAAATATTCTGGCAAAAGACTGTCCAAATCATAGAGATTGTATTAATAATTTAAACCCCCCTCCCCCGACCTACTTCACAAAGAACAAAGTAGCAAATTTTGACTGAAAATGCTCTGTGCAACTCAAAAAGACAGAAAGCAAGCCAGATAGGTGTGTAGTTATGGGTGAGTTTGCCTGAGAAAAACCCTCTGGAAACATCAGAAATCAAGCCTGGCCTCCTAGAGATACAGTGATGTTTCTTTCCGATCCAGAGAACAGAATCCCTCCTATGTGGATTTAGTAGCCTTTGAGCAAAGTCGAGGCTGGAAGGAGCGTTCATGGGCTGTCCACAGAGGCTATTTGGAAACCTTCTTGGTTGTGTAATTTGAGAGCCCGGCAGCATAGGGGAGGCGCAGGTGTTTCTCAGCTTTCCTAACTCCCTTCCTGAGATTCAGGTGTGAAAGAAAGCAAGTGAATGTCTCCTTATGAAGATCGGGAGCCGCCTCGTTTCTATTCCAGAAGCTCTGGGAGAGCCTTCTGTGGTAGAGTCCTCTGGTGGCCACACTTTTCCAGGAAACACTGATGTGGAAATCTGGCTGTTGGATGTCCGGTGAGGAGCGTCCTGGCTGGACTGAGCCAGCTGTGTGTTGGGTGGGGAGTGAGGTTGGAGGGTTTGTCCACTGTGTTAGCAAGAGTGAAGTGGCTCTGCTTTTCCTTCCTGGGAGGAAAGGGAGGGTGAATCAGACCCAGGGGACAAACAGAACGATAGGATGGGACAGTTGTGGGTGTGTCAGTCACAGTTTGTGGTATATACATTGAGACTCTCCTATCTCCTAAAGGGCTTTCAGACCAGTACCCATCTGAGGGAGCAGTAACCCCGAGAGGGGCTCCCATTTGTTAAGCACCTGCTAGGTGCCAGGCATGGTCCATGCGTTGTCACCAATTCCCCTGACAGCCCTGGGACGGGGAAGGAGCTATCCCCATTTTTGTAGGCAGGCAAACTGAATGAAATAGGTGAAGGCAGTCAGCCAAGGAGTAGTTGGTTAGCAGCTCAGCTGGCTGCATATTACCCTTTGGGCCTCTGTCTCTTTTAAACTCAATATCCTGGGTCACACTGTACCAGAAGCCAAGTGAAGGGTCTAGATCCTTGTGGGGAAGGGTCTGTGTAGCTCCTGAGGTCAGCCTGCTAGAGACAGCATCCCTAAGGGGAGGCAGAGATGCTGGGGCTACAATGAGGGCAGCTGCTCCTACCCACTTGAGCATCTCTCCTGCAAACCCTGATGTTTGATTTCACTCAGAGCCAGCTGTGTTTGCCACAGGTGGAGGCAGGAGTGGGCCTGAGTCCTAGGACTCTTTTCAGGAAAAGCAGATGCAGCTTTGACAGGGAGGGTCTTTGTATCTGGGAACCTCATACATGAGCAGGCTGGACCTCGAGGCTAAGGTTAGTAGGGATGGAGGATATGCAGGTAGGTTCCCCTGGGATGCAGTGAGTCCCCAAAGATAGGCTGGGGTAGGGAATGCAGAACTCGCAAGGGGGTAGCAGGTGGTGGACTGGCCAGCATAGGGAATCATGGATCTGGAGGACTGCCAGCCAGGTGTTGGTGCTGAAACCAGGTGGCCAGAGAAGAAGCCCGTAGGTACTAGAGGTGGTAAACCTCTGCTAGAGGGGTGCCTAGCACTGAGCTTGCAGAGGGGCATGGAGTTCAGAAGGCCAGGGGAGCTGTTGGGAATATAAGTACAGACAGAAGGGGCTACACTAGGCTCCTTAGGCAGCAGTCAGATGGGGGGATGCACAGCATAGCCCCCACCCCAGTGCATCATTTGTTTCTGATAGAGTGATGTCAGGAAACCCCATCTTGGCAAAAATGTGTCAAAGATTGAGAGCCGTCTGTGCAAGATAGACACGCCTCAAGGATTTCCTCCTTGTTCATGTGGAAAAAAAAGGGGAAGCATACCCTGTTGAGAGGAGTTGAGAGCTGACAGGGAAGTCAAAAGACCCACCCTGGTGGCCAGCAAGCCCCTTAGCAGAGGCCAGTTTGACAGAGGTCCTGGTTCCTGGGGAAATCCTTTTGGTCAAGACCCCAAGGAAATGAGGGGATGGGCTGCACATACTTGGCTTCCAAAGGGTGGCTTCCAGGAAAACCTCCACCAAGCAGAGATGGGGGGCCGTGGTAGGCAGGGACTGGTCACAAGGATCCTGCTCTTCAGTGGATGGGGCAGCCTTCCAGACGGTGACAAGCAGAGGGAGCCAATTTTCCCAGAAATGGGAGGAGGCCTAAAAGATAAGACCCATAGCTGCTTAGGAATTATCAAGGCCCTTAGATAAAAGCAAGCAGAAACATCTTTCTTGAGGGTCTGATCCACCACAAAGAGGTCGAGGAACTTACAGAGACATGGTTGAAGAGGAGCTGAGGTGATGCTCTTACCTCAAATGGAGAGATTAAAGATCTGGAAGGTACTGTAAGGCATCTGCAGAAACCTCTAGAGGTTTGGGGGATTAATTCTAGGGATTGGGGGGGATGGTAATAAGATTGGAATGCACACACAGTAGAGCTTTATTTGAGCGAGGTGCTGTTTTCAGCATCCACAATCTGGCTGCAAGGGCTGGACTTCATAGATAGTAACGGAATATGAGACTTTGCCGGCCAAACTAGTTGGCTGCAGAGGGTCACCCTTGCACCTCCTTCTCTCCAAGTCCTGTTCTCCCATTTTGGGTTCAGGTGATTGTATTGCAGAAGTTTACAGAATGTCGCTGGGGGAGAGAGATGCTGGGCTGGGGAAGCAGGCTGTGCTGTGGATCATGAGGGATATTTTATCCATTGCTGTGAAATAAGCCCCCTCAAAACTGAGTGTCACAAAACAACTATTTGTTACTATGGCACATGTTTCTGTGGATTGACGGGCTCAGCTGGGTGGTTCTTCTGCTGGTCTCTCTTGGCGTCTCTCATGCATTTGCAGTCAGATGGTGGCCAGAGCTGGGGTCCTGGAGGCTCCGCTGGGCTGGAACCTCCAGAAGGGCATATTCACTCACGCATCTGGTGCCTTTCGTGTGGCTTCTCATGTGGTGTCTCATCCTCTGGTGCCTTTCTGCATGGCCTTTCTCTGCAGCAGAGCAGCTGGAGTTTTAATATATGACTTCCAAGAAAGCAAAAGTGCAAATTGCCAGGCCTTCTTAAGACTCAGGTTCAGACCTGGTGCATCGTTTCTGCCAGGTTCCATGGGCAAAGTGAGTCTCAGGGCCAGTCCCTGATTCAGTGTGGGAGGGAGGCTCATACAGGTGTGGGTACAAGTGTGACACTGAAGCAAGGTTCATTGAGGGCCATTTTGCAGACTGGCTACCTCACAAGGCTAGGGAGATGATCCATTAGAGGGGAAGGTGTACCAGGCCATATGGATGAGAGAGCTTCGGGGAGGTAAAATGAACAGATTTGGTCATTCTGCTAGGAAATTCTCCATCTTCATCCTTTTATGTTTTGTGTTTTTTTGTTTTTAAAGATGCCAGGGATTTCTTTGTAATGGTGATTAATGATGCAGCAGAATTTGAAACCAGATTTTTCAGTGCCTGGAGCCTGGGTCTGTCCCCTGAGCCACAGACAAACTAACTTTTTCAAGTTGGGGCTATTTGGTGCTTGTTGTTAATGGACATCATGCATCCGAACTGCCTGACATCTAGTAGATGCTCCATATGTTACACAGATTGGATTTAATACAGGGCCTTTCTTTTTGTAACATGGAGATTACCTAAAATGGGTGTGACCTTGTTCCTCGTGCCTGTATTTTTCAAGGCAGTCATAAGCTCTGTCCACAAAAGAAATAATTAGGACTGGTGGTTTGCGGAGCATGTAATTGTGACTGAAAAGATTAAGGTGCTTTCTGCCATCTTTACAAAGTCATCCTGCCCTTTGATTTGGGGGCTGTGGCCAGCATTTGTGGCTCCCGCTGTGTGAAACTCTACCTACGGCCCACCCTCCTTCTGCCTCTGCTCCTGAGCAGCGTCCCCCCCTTCACTGTTCTGTGCAGGTCTGGTCAAGTGGCCACCCCCTCAGGACTTCAAAGCAGTGGGCAGGGCTTATGGAGTCTCTGGATTCGGGGCATCTTCACAAAAGTTCCCTTAGCAACAAGTCGGCAGGAATCCCTGACATCTGTTAACCAACACGTGAATCCCGGCAGTCCATTACCAGTTAGAAACATGAATGAGATGCTGACCTGCTTGTACTCTTCCCAGCCTGAAAAAGCCCAGCTTTTATCTCACAGCCTGGTTGACCTTGTCTACGAGCACAGATGCTGGGCCCTACCTGGCTGGTGAAAGAAAAGGTTTGGTAAACCAGGAAAGCTTGGATGTAAGTTAGGTGTTAGGATTTTTATCCAGAGGTTGGGGTTCTCCCAGCTTGCCCTCTTATTACTCCCAGCAGCCACATGACAAGCTTTCTAACAGAATGTCAGCACGGGTCCCCAGCACTTAATTGCAGAATAAGTAGATTCTGCTCTGCCTGCAATGGCAAGGCTGCTGGATAGTGTTCCTTGCCCCCACCTGTTTGTGGCTGAACTGTATATGGGATCTTAGTTCCTCAGCCAGGGATTGAACCCATGGCCCCTGCATTGAAATCATGGAGTCTTAACCACTGGACCACCAGGGAAGTGCCTGGGTGGTGCTTATTCCCATGGAGAGAAGTAGAAATGGTAGCCAGCTGATCGGTTTGGCTTGTCCCTTGGAGCATCAAAGCATGGGTGACACTGTGGGGGTTCAGCTACTACACGTTTGTGGTACCAGGTTTGCATGGATTCCTCAGAGGACTCACCCACCTCCTGCCTTCACATTTAGTGTTTCTTCTGTCTCCCATCTGATAAAGATCGATTTTATTAGCTTAACTTCCTGGTTCACGGCATTCCCCTCATTTCTTGAGTTGGTAGCCAGACTCAGTCCCCACGGACTCACAGTGTCCGTACTACACTTTTAATCTCTCTCCTCCTTTAAGTGCCTTATCCCCCCGCCCTCTGAACCCATGTGCATGTCACCATCATCTCTCCAGTGTCACCTGACTCTACCCCCTCTTACCCTTTCTCTCCTGTTCGGTTGAGCGCAAGCCTAGTCTGATCTCCCTTAGAAACGTTCCTCAGAGCCTTCTCCTTCTTCACTTGTGTTGGCAGACTTTTTCTGAGAAGGGCCAGGAAACATTTTCGGCTTTGTGGGCCAAGCGGCACCCTCAAGTTAAAGCTGCAGCGCTGTGATGTGCAGTGCGCCGGAGACAGCGAGAAGCTGTGAGAGCACCCATATGGTCCCTGTCACCGCCACTCAGCCCTGTCTGTGGAGCACAAATCAGCTCGAGAGGAGCCCTGAACCAGCGGGTGTGGCTGTGTGCCGATAAAACTTTATTTATGGACGCTGGGATTTCAGTTTGTGCCATGCAGTATTTTTCTTCTTTTGCTTCGTTTTCAACTATTTAAAGATGGATAGGCCAGGGACTTCCCTGGTGGTCTAATGGTTCCCCGAGACCACGTAAGTGGTTCCCCTGGTTGAGGAACTAACATCCCACATGCCAAGGAGCAACTAAGCCCTCATGCCACAGCTACTGATCCCTCAAGCCACAGCTAGAGTCTGTGCACTGCAATGAAGATTCCCTGTGCTGTAACTAAGACCTACACAGCCAGGAAAAAAAAGATGGATAGGCCCTTCCTTAGCTCATGGATTGTGTGTGGTTTGCCAATCCCTGTTCAGAAGTTGATCATTCATTCAACAATCCCTAATTGAGTGCCTAACAATAGGCTGTGAATGCTACTGTAGGTGAAGCAATGAAAGGCATAGAAAAGAAACTTACCTTTTAGTTGGGGAGATGGTAAACTAGCTATATATATATATATATATATGTGTGTGTATATATATATGATTTTAAAGTAGCATGGGGCCAATAAAGCAGGGCACTGTGATGTTAGGAGTGCAGGATATAGGAAGAAGGGTTCCAGAAACTGTCAGAGAAAGCTTCTGCAAGGAGGGGATATCTGAGCAGAGAGCTGAGTGTGAGCCAGCCACATGAGGATCTGGAGCGTTGAGTGTTTGTTCTACAAATTCAGATAACCTTAAAGAGGGGAGTATGTTTGATAGATATGAGAGAACCAGAATATTCCAGAATGGTTAGAGAGCAAGAACAAGCTTGGGATGTGGCAGAAAGGGAGGCAGGTAAGTTGAATAGTTACTTTCCTTTCCCCTACAGTATATGTAACTTGATTTTTCTCTATGAATTTATATTTTAAGTTCCTATTCTGCACAGTGAAAGAAAGGTACTGTCAAGTATTTGAGGTTACTTGCCTTTCCCTAGGTTTGCGTTTATGTTCTGGGGAACTTAACTGCAAACAGCGTCATTCCAAGGGCCCAGCTGTGCCTCCATGTCCCTTGGGCCTCTGCTGACCCATGCTTTCCTGTGTGGTTCCCTGTTTGTCCATCCATACTCTTTTTGCCAGAGACAATCTCCTGTCTGAAGGGTCCCTCTATCTGGAGGCCCCCCCCCCCCCCCCGCCTTTCTCATCAGTTTTTGGGTGGACCAAATTGGAATAACATTCTGTGACACTCTTTGAAGCTTCTTCTGCCTCCAATGATGTGCTGGTAAATGTTTATCGATCAACTTTGGGAGATGGAGGGTTGGTAGCATCTGCCAACTTCTGGGATGTAAACATTCCCGCCATGGCCAATTTCAAGCTACAGATGGTTTCTTTTCATTGAATATATTGGACCTGTCATCTTGTGTAAAATTAAGGTATACAGCCTGTTCATCTGATACATGTAGATATTGTAACATGATAGCAACATTTAGCACCTCTATCACATTCCCTAATTATCCTTTCTTTTTCAATGGTTGGTAGCTTTCAGTTTGATTGACAGGTAAGCATGCTCTGATTTGTTTTGGAAAGCTCACCTGGGCTGTAGTGTGGAGGATGGATTTTAAAGGGCAGGAGCAGGAGCAAGCAGATGAGTTCAAAAGCTGGAAGCAGGTTGGTGGGAGTGGAGGTTCTGAGAGAGAAGGGGATGGATTTGGAATATGTCTTGCAGGTTGAGTCAGAATTTGCCAGTGGATTGACTGGGGAGGGTGAGGGGCCTTACCTCTGCAGGCCAATTGTGATGTACTCTAGGGCAGTTTCCTCATCCGTGAATCGTCTGCTCTGTCACCAGGGACCTCTTCCTTCAAAAATGAGCTAAAAGGCAAATAAAAATTGGAGGAAAGTTAATGTCCTTAATGCAGGAAGTACTTCTCAATTTTTTTTTCAAAAAGCAGAAACAGGAACACATCAGTGTGCAAATGGGCAGGGAACTTGGATAGACAGTTCATAATAAAAGATGTGCACAGTCATCAGCATATTCAGTCTCATAAGTAATCAAAGAATTGTAATTTTTTTTTGGAAAAGGTAGCTTTAACGAAAAGCATCAACATAAAAACATAATGAGTCTTGGCAAGAGTGTAGGAAGATTGTCATATGCTTCTGAGTGTAATTTGGCAATATACCTTAAAACCGTAACAATGTATATGCCCTCTGCCCCAGAAATTCCACATATAGAAATTTGGACTCAGGAAGAATCAAGCCATAAGCCTCAGAATACCCGTTGCAGCCTGTTTTTGTTATAGCTCAATTGGCCACACCCGACCTGCCCACCTGGAGGAACTGGTTAAAACAAGGTTCACCTGTGCTTCACACAGGCCACCCATGCAAAAGGGGTTCAGCTGAATTTGAAAAATAAAACATTTTTGTCAGTGATGTAAGTGATTTTAATGGAGTTAGCGTGGTTCAGATTTCACCTGATGACAAGGCAAAATGAGCTGGTGTTTCCAAGAATGAATTGCTTTTTAAAAACAGAGACTCTATTCTCTGACATATCCTTTTGTGCAAAGACCCAGCTGAAGGAGTACTTGCCTGGCCCAAGTTTCTTTTAGATATCCTTAGTAACAGCAAATCTTTGTCTTTCGAGGGGTGCATTTGATTTTTTTGGCAACAGCCAGATTTTATTTGGAGCCGAGTCTGGTGTGTCTGTATGTGTGACTGTCTGTCTGTCACCTTGTTGAAAAAAGGATGTAAAGCAGCTTACCAAAAAGCATACGGTACAGTAAGATAGAAGCATAAATACATGGGGAAATCTGGGGAAAGGAGAAAATAAGATGATGGAGTGAAGTCTGAAGAGTGTAGAAGGTGATTAAGTAATGCTCTTCAGGGTCCTTAAGTCACGATGTGTTTGAGCTGTCTCAACAGGGAGAAACAGATGTTCTGAAGATGGCAGCATTGGGGGCTTAGGTGCTGTGTCCGTCAGGATGGGTTAGGAAATGCTGCCATTAACAAACAGTCCCCAAATCTCAGTGCTTATAAACAATATAGGTTTGCCTCTTCTCACACTGCCAGTCTATAGCAAGTCAGTTGGTGGCAGTGAGACCCTCCAGGAAGGACCCAGGATGAGGGAGCAACCACAGTCTGGAATCTTGCTGGGTGACCAACAGCACCTGGTTCTTAAAGCTGCTTCCCAGAAGTGACACATGGCATTGGTGCTCAGATGTCATTGAAAAAAGCCCAGCCACACCTAACGTCAAGTGGGGGGTGGTGGTGGTGGTGTAGTCCTGCCACGTGCGCAGGAGAGGAGTGAGCTGAATGTATATGGATGGCTCTGGTGACCACCGGGTGTGTCCTCACTCAGGGGGATACCTGTTTCTGTTCCAGTTCAGTCTCCATATTTTATGGCCATACCTAGAGTGGTGCTTCTCAGGTTGATTTTGATACCTCTAGAGCAAAGTTTCTGGATGTTGTTGGATGCAGATTCTGACTCAGTAGGTCTGGGGTTAGGCTGGGGACTCTGCATGCCTGACAAGCTCCCTTGGAGTTCAGCCCCAGCAGATGCCCATAGCTCCTGAGACCAGGATGAGCTCTTACTGTTCTTTCAAATCAGCTCCCCCTCCACCAAGCTCTCCTGGCATCTGCCATGCTCCTGGGCACACCAGTGATACTTGGCCTGATCCCAGACTTCCTGTGATTTTTTTTTTTCTTTGCGGTAAATACATCTGTCAACGTTTGGTTCAACAAAAACAAATGTTTATATTTGAGCACCTACTGTGTATGCCAAGTTCTCCGCAAGGCTCGGCGGATACTGTCGAGGCCTGGAGCCAAGGTCTTCTCTGGGAGCCCTCAGGGATGTGCCAGCCCCCTTAGGTGACTTAGGGGCAGGTGATTTCTCTAAAAAACTTCAGTTTCACACTTGTTCTACTGGAACGAAAGCCTTTCCAGAAGTTTTGCATCCATTGTTCTTTCTCAAGTGCCTTCATTTCTCCACCCTTCTTATTTGCTTGTCAGATGCACAGAGAACTCCCAGATTTGTCAACAAAAAAACTAAGTTGTAAAAACTCTTCAGAGATGATATTTTAAGAATTCTACAGAAATGAATCCTTTTCCTAATTTAATCATGACAGAGTCTCCTTATTTTAGCGATGGCTCATGGAAGAGTGTCATTTGTTTTTGATTCATAATATAAAGTAGAAATAGGAATAGGAAGTTGGAGGCCACTCTTCTCATTTAGCAAGTGTTTTACTGATAAATAGCTACAAGCTTTTGTTGTGTTTGAAGTGAAAAATGAAACTGTTGAGTTCTGGATAATCAAGGACATACTTCACAGGAAATCTGCTAATCTGATGATGGTGTTGTTCAATCCCTAAGTTGTGTCTGATTCTTTGTACCTCATGGACTGCAGCATGCCAGGCTTCTCTGTCCCTCACTATCTCCCGGAGTTTGCCCAAGTTCATTTCCATTGAGTCGGTGATGCTATCCAACCATCTCATCCTCGGCTGCCCTCTTCTTCTTTTGCCTTCAGCCTTCCCCAGCATCTCTACCAGCTAATATGGCACTCAGTCTAATATTTTCATATTTATAAGAAGGTTTTGGATGCTTGGGGCCTCCTGCTTGCTGTGGGCACATGGAATCCACCTGTGCAACATACCATGTAGAACATTAAGCCAGCACTTAAAATATCAATGTGCATGAAAATCACAGGGGGCTTTTGTTCACATGCAGGTCTGGCTTCAGTAGGCCTGGGGTGGGGCCTGAGAATCTGCATTGTCTAACAAGCTTCCAGGTGCTGCTGGCCTCTGAGCTTCAATTTGAGTAGGAAAGCATTTGAGTACCCTAAGGGGTTTTTAAGTTTGCAAGCCATGATTAAATTCTGGAATTAGATTGGATTTAGTTTACTTTCTTTTTTCTTCATGGGTTATGTAAGACTACACAGGGTCATGAAAAGAACACAGGTTTTGGAATTAGACCTCAATTTGAGTCTGTTTAATCTGAGAGGTTTGGAGATGGTAAAAAGGTAGGATGGTGGTAGCTGGTGTTCCTATTTGCCCAGAGTAGTCTCTTGATCACTATCATGGGTTGGAGGTGGGGTTTGGGAATGTTTCACCCTGGCTAGATAAGGAAGAGAGGTGGCTGGGGGCTGAATGGCAGGCCCAGGGTCTTACCTACAGTATGCATGAACTTGACAGCAGAGAGCCCAGGGTGGTCTTGCCAGATACCAATGTGTTAGAAAAAACATGCCCCTACATCTCAAGGCACTTGATCCCGTTCCGAGGCATTGTGTGGTTTGGTTTGTGGGCTAGATGAGTCCTGTGGCTACCACCAGTGTGGACACTTTGCTCAGGGGCAGGGACAGAACCTCCTCCAACTGGCTGAAGAGTACAGGGTAAAGGTCTGGCAGCTCTGGGTTCAAATCCTGCCTCTCAGACCCTGGGCCAGTTGCAGAATCTGCGTTAAGTTTCACCCTGCCTAAGTTTTCTGCGTTAAGTTTTCCTAGGGCTCCTGTGAGGGTAGCCAGGCATCTTGTACACACTGTTAGTGGAGTCTACACCCCACATGTTCTGGGGATCATGCCAAGACCAATACTGAGAGCTACCGCTTCACTGGACTTCCATTGATGGGGGTGCTGCTCGGGTGAGAGGAAACTCCCCTTTCCCTGGGCTCCTCTGAGATCAAGTACAGGGCTCCCTGGTTGCAGCCCTGTGGTCAGGGCCTTCTGACCCACAGGCACAAGTCACCAGGGCCTCTTACGGAATGCAGATTTGGATTCTGAGGGTCTGGGGTGGGACCTGAGAATCTGCATTTTTAAAAAGGTCTAACAAGGAGATGCTGCTTGTCTGGGACCCACACTCTTAGAAGCACTGCCGGAGAACACTTCTCCGGATTTTTCAGGACCCAGATCCTACTATTTAAAGCAAGTGAGGCTGCAGGCGCTGGCCAGTTCTGGTTTATTGGGAACTGCTGCATGATGGTTGTTGCTGCTCAGGCTGGGTTAATTAGTCTTAATTGCTTCTTACCTGGGTCTGATGGGCCTCTGGCTGCCCAGACGTTCCCCGAAGAGGCTCTTATAATGAGAAAAATGTCAGGAGAGGTGACGTGTAGGAGTTCGCTAAAGGATTTAGGCATTCCTTTTCATCTTTGCTGGTCCTGGGCCCACAGAAAGATTTGTTTCAAGGGCCTGGATGAGAAATTCTCTTCTGAAGGTGTTGCTGTGGGGCTTAGAACAGCTGGTGTTCTCAGGCTCAGAAATGGAGATGGAGTTAGTGCCGCAAAGCTGGCGTCTCCCGCAGCCCCTGGATGCGGCCCTCAGGTCTACGTGGCTCTGCACTTGGCCTGCCTCATCTTGCTTGGATGACTGCCCTGGCCCCTAACCGCAGTGGCTCTGCCTTTGGTCCCTTGGTGATGTCCAGTCTCTGTTGAAATGCAGTGGTGATTTTTCTAGCCAGTTTGGCTAAGGAACGCTCCTGCTTAAGACTTTCCTTGGGTTTTTTTGTCTTCATGATATAATATGACTTACCTTTGCTTATGCGTCCCCTCACTACTTGGCTTCTGCCTCCCTCCCTAGTCACGTTTTTAGCCACTTGTCCATATAGGTAAAGCTGGGAAATACGATTGTCACCTTGTATATAATGCACAGCAAGCCATACCAGGCCCTCCTGAAACAGGAGGGAAGAGGGCAGGCACAGTCTTTAAAAGAGTGATATAGCCTTTGAGGATGTGAGGTAAACGAGTCAGAACCTACTAGACCCAAGATGGCGGAGGATTCCACTTCCGGTACAAGATGGTGGATGATTTGACTTCCGGGTCAGAGACCTCAAGCCTTATTATATGCTTATTGTAATATATTAGCATCTTAATAACATGCCGTCAGACGCCATGACAGTTCTGAGGCTGACCATAAAAGGCCAAGGTGGGCAGTGCCCCAGTGCCTGGAAATCCCTGCCACTTCTCTAAGATAGTTAGAATATTCTTCCCATTCATTAGCATACTAAATTACCCAGCCCATAAAAACTAACAACCCCCATACTCTGGGGCCTGTTTCACTTTCCAAGACAACCCTATTTTCCTGCAGCAGTTCTGGAATCTTAGAATGGGAGCGTCCTCAGTTTGTAGACAGTCTGGTGTGTGGGTGTTCAGGGCTGATCTGACCTGGGTTTGGGTACTGGCTGTGCAAACTTTGGGCCAGTCGCTTTCCAGTCCTTGGACCTTAGTTTCTATATGTCTTTAAGACCCAGGTCAGGCTTCCCTGGTGGCTCAGTGGTAAAGAATCCGTCTGCCAATGCTCGAGAGGTAGGTTCAGTCCCTGGGTTGGGAAGACCCTCTGGAGAAGGAAATGGCAACCTACTCCAGTGTTCTTGCTTGGGAAATCCCATGGACAGAGGAGCCTGGCAAGCTACAGTTCAGATCGCGAAGGAGTCAGACACGGCTAGCGAATGAACAACAGCAAGACCCGTATCAGAGGATCGTTGTGAAAGTTAGAATTGTCTCCTTTGATGTCAGTGCTGTGCAGAGAGCCTGGTGTCAGGGAGGCGGATGTGCTTGTGGCCGTCTATCACTCACGGGTCTGGCCATTATTTTCTTAGTAAAAGAAACCTGCTTCCCTGAGCATCAGTTCAAACCACTTGGTCACCATTTCTTAACTCAGTTTCCATCTTGGTTCTTCCAAATAAGTCTCTCTCCGTCAGATTTCAGGTCAATTGAAGATGTGTTTACAGGAGGATCACTGACCTTCTGTGGATGGACCCTTTGTCATGGTGCATTTCCACCACAAACTTAAGCCAGAAATTCCTTTCTTGAAATGTCACAGTTGTCTGAATATCCTCCCATCCGGATTCTCTCTGAATGTGATAAACCTGCCTGGGAGTGACCAAGATTAGAATCTTAGCTGGAGGTCAACAGTAGAGGGGAATTTTATCTTAGAGCCTGTAGCAGATAAACCCGCTTATAAGGGCAGGTTTTTTTTTTGCAGAAGATTGCCTCCTGAGGCCTGTGGGTAGGGTTCTGCTCAGAGTGAGGGGGTCACAGGACCCGTGGATGTTTTCAAGTTGATGTGTTTGCTACGTGGCCCTCGATTTCTTCTTTCAGCCAGCCAGCTGCCGAATTTCTGAGCGTGGCTGCTGTAGGTTCTTTGGGGGTAGGAGGGAAGCAAAGTAGTGGGAAGTTCTGCCTGTGCCCTGTACCCCTCCACCCTGAGTCCATGATATGATTTTCTGGCAGCACTTGTAGGGCTTTCTGCTCATCTTTGTCCCCTCTTTGCATTCCCCCATTAACACAGAGAAAGCCTGCTTTCTGGGCTCACAACAGCTCCCTCCCCCCACCTGCCGCAGAGGTGAGGGCAGGGAGGGTTTTTTTTTTTTAACCCTGTATTTATTTATTTATTTTTGACCACTCTGAGCAGCATACAAGATCTTAGTTCCCTGACCAGGAATTGAACCTGTGCTCCCTGCAGTTGGAAGCACAGAGTCTTAACCGCTGGACCACTGGGGAAATCCCAGTCTTCCCACTTCTGGCTTTTCTCTTGAAAAGAGGAGGTAATCTGATCTTCAGGGGAAAAAGGAGTATCAGTGTGGATCTTTTCATTGTTCGCTTGCCACTTGGGCCAGATGACTGATGCACACCAATTGGGAATTTGGGATCAGAGAGATAGGGAGCTAAGGTTTGTGGGGGTTCATACGGACAGCCATGGGTTGAGACCTGATCTGTGCATGCCCTCAAGGAGCCCTGTGGTGGGCGTGGCTGTGGAGAGCCTGGTTACGTTGAGAATTTCAGACCCACCTCCTCTACCTCCCCCAAGAGAAAACAGTCCGAATTAAATTGTAGCCAGGCCTCTTCCTCCTCTGTGTAGGGTCCTCTGTGGAGCCATTTCGAGTGTGTTCAGAAGGTGGGGAGGGACTAGCCTGGCCAAAGCAATACCATCCATTCCAGGGAGATTGTGGAGCCAGCTCTGAACTGAGCCCTTTGCCCTTTGCCCCAGCTATGCCCCTGGTCCAAGAAGATGGCTGTGCTGGTGCATGAATGGAGGCAGGGGAGCTGGAGCTGGCCTGAAGTCTCCCAGTCTCCCAGACCTGGGGTTCTCTGGTGCTGGGTCCTGGGCACCTGACACAGTGCTGCTTTTCGAGGACTCTGGCTTGATCACTCTCCTGTTCAAGTCACTCCCGGGATTCCTCCAAGAAACCTGAGCACTCTGAGGGATGCAGTTTGAAAAGCCCAGTCTCTCGGTCCACTAAATGCCAACCCTCTTCTCTGCCCATCAGGATCACTTTCAGTTCAGTTCAGTTACTCAGTCATGTCTGACTCTTTGTGACCCCATGGGATGCAGCACGCCAGGGATCCCGTCCATTGCCAACTCCCAGAGTTTACTCAAACTCATGTCCATTCAGTGGGTGATGCCATCCAGCCATCTCATCCTCTGTTGTCCCCTTCTCCTCCTGCCTTCAATCTTTCCCAGCATCAGGGTTTTTTCAAATGAGTCAGTTCTTCACATCAGGTGGCCAAAGTATTACAGGATCACTTTAGAGGATACCAACTCGAGTGCCATTCTGCTGTGCTTCTGAATTGAGTGCCAGGGCGTGGTCATGATGCTCTGTTACTCTAGGTGGCTGATCTGCTTTTTTTTATCAGTCCTGGGGAGATGATTTCTCAAGGAAGCGGCAGAAGAGGTAAATTACGTTTCACTGAAAATCATCAAGACTATATATATATATTCAGCTACAGCAGCAAGTCTCTTGCAAATAAGGACCGATGTGAGATGCAGGCAGGTTGGAAAGAGTCACAGTGAGGACCTGAAGCTGGCTTGATCAATGGTCACAGAGGCGCCTGCACTTGGCTTTCTCCTGGTTTATAGGGGAGGGGGATGGAAGAGCAACAGTTATTCTCAGCTGTACCCCAAGGGGGACAGTTTTAAAGTGACTGACATCCACCTGGGAGTGGACGAGTTTTCTGTTAACCTGCTTCTTAGTAAGTATTCCTTGTATTTCCACTGAGCCAGGAACCCCAGGCTTAGGACCGGTGTCCCTACTCTGCCCTAGCCTTTTGTTGCCGTCCACAATGTCCTTCTGAGTCCAACAGAACCCTTTCCACTGGCTCCTTGCCATCCTTGTGTGAGGGTGCTCCTTGTGGGGATGAGCACGGGGCTTCATAAACCTACCCCCACCTCCTCACTTGCCCTCTCCTGGCACACAACTCTGCACCCCGCTGCCTTTGCATGGCTGGACCTCTCTTTGGGGTCCCTTCCCCCTCCAGCCTGTCTGGGGAATGATAATCCTCCTCCAGACCCAGCCTGAGTGTGGCCTTTGACCTCTCCCCAGGCGAGCAGATCATTCTTCCCTGGCCTCCGTAGGGCTTCCTGCAGTGATGGCCCTGACCACACTAGGTTGCAGTCACTCCCGTCCTGCACTCTGAGCTCCTCCTGTGCAGGAAACCCACGCCTGCATTGTCCTGAATCTCTCTGATGCCCAGCTTGACACAGTGCTTGGCATCCGTGAGGTCTGGCTGGGTGACTGTTGGATGACTAGCTGGCTAGACAGATGAACTAAAGAGTTTGAAGAGAGAGTTTGCCAAATGTCAATAAATTTTTTTTTTTTTAAAAAAGGTGATGAGTTAAGTGAAGCCAGTAGAGTGACTTTAGAAGAAGAGGAGGTCAGGACACAGACACAAAGAGGAAGGCCCAGGAAGTAGATAGCTGTCTGCAAGCCAAGGAGACAGGCCTCAGGAGAAACCAGCCCTGCTGACACCTTGATCTTGAACTTCAACCCTCCAGAACAGTAGATTTCTGCTGTTTGAGGCCCTCGGCCTGCAGTTCTGGCCACCGTAGCTGACTCTTATAGGGCCCTAAAACTGTATTTGGGTGGCAGACTTACTTATGTAATAATGTGTGGGATTGACAAATAACAAGGCTGAGCACCAAAGAATTGTTGCCTTTGAACTGTGGTACTGGAGAAGACTCTTAAGAGCTTCTTGGACTGCAAGGAAGTCAAACCAGTCAATCCTAAAGGAAATAAACCCTGAATATTCATTGGAAGGACTGATGCTGAAACTGAAGCTCCAATACTTTGGCCACCTGATGTGAAGAGCTGACTCATTGGAAAAGACCGTGATGCTGGGGAATATTGAAGGCAGGAGGAGAAGGGGACAACAGAGGATAAGATGGTTGGATGGCATCACTGACTCAATGGATGTGAGTTTGAGCAAACTCCAGGAAGTGATGAAGGACGGGGAAGCCTGATGTGCTGCAGTCCATGGGGTTGCAAAGATTCAGATACAGTTGAGTGACTGAACAACAACATGTGGGATCAACACTTTGGACGTGGCAGTTGCCCTGGTTTTCTTCTTCACATGTGTCCCCTTGTGAACACATGATATGTTTCAGATCCTACACTAGAGTATGAGCCCCTCGAGGACAGAGCTGTGCATCAGGTTTGTTTGCTGTAGGGTCCCTAAAACCCAGAACACAGGAGGGCTCATGTAGAAGCTGGAATGCCTTTTGGATGAATTTTGTCTGAACCAATGGCCTGAAAGTAAAATACCTCACTCTGGGTCTAAATCCAGAGTTTTTAATTAAACGCGCTGGTTTTCTGTGTTCAGCTCTCTGCCTCAGGCTCACGCTGCAAGGTGGCTTCCTGCTCTGTGCCCTCTGTCTCTCTAATCTCTACCCAGCCACCAAAGGTGATGAAAATGTATTACAAATCAGAGAAGAGTTCGTTTATTAGTTCTTCTTTACTCTCGGTGGGCTGAGCCACAGATTATATTAAG